AAATTCCATTAGCCCGCAGTTTTTTAGGGGTCAATGTACCAATTTTACCCAAAAATCCAAGGTTTGTAAATTGTCATCCTCCTCAACTGAACTACTGGGTAGTGTTTATTTTATTATGTCATGATAAATGTTTGAAACGAAACCATTTTTCACTAACCGTTAATGGGTTAATGTTGTAATATATAATGATTCTTTAGTATTTAACCTTAACTAAGTACTTAAAACGACAATGTCATTATTCATTGCAACTATTTATCACGCAGACATAAAAAATAGAAACTTAAACAATGTCATTAGATTGATATTATTAAAATAGGCAGTCAGTCTGTGACTGGACAAAAAGATTTGCATGACTCAAATGACCAAAACTTTATTAATTATGGGCTTCATCAAAGTTACCCCAACTTTTTGTATATGAAAAGCAAACCAGAGTTTAGGTCCCAATTTCATAGTATAGTCAATAGTCTAGTCTATAGTCTAGTCTATAGTCTAGTCTATAGTCTAGTCTATAGTCTAGTCTATAGTCTAGTCTATAGTCTAGTCTATAGTCTAGTCTATAGTCTAGTCTATAGTCTAGTCTATAGTCTAGTCTATAGTCTAGTCTATAGTCTAGTCTATAGTCTAGTCTATAGTCTAGTCTATAGTCTAGTCTATAGTCTAGTCTATAGTCTAGTCTATAGTCTAGTCTATAGTCTAGTCTATAGTCTAGTCTATAGTCTAGTCTATAGTCTAGTCTATAGTCTAGTCTATAGTCTAGTCTATAGTCTAGTCTATAGTAGTCTATAGTCTATAGTCTAGTCTATAGTCTAGTCTATAGTCTAGTCTATAGTCTAGTCTATAGTCTAGTCTATTGTCTAGTCTATTGTCTAGTCCATAGTCTATAGTCGAGTCTATTGTCTAGTCCATAGTCTATAGTCTAGACTATAGTCAAGTCTATAGTCTAGTCTAGTCTATAGTCTAGTTTATAATCTAGTCTATAATCTAGTCTATAGTCTAGCCTATAGTCATGTCTGTAGTCTAGTCTAGTCTATAGTCTAGTCTATAGTGTAGTCTATAGTATAATCTATAGACTAGTCTATAGTCTAGTCTGTAGTCCAGTCTATAGTCCAGTCTATAGTCCAGTCTATAGTGCAGTCTAGTCTATACTCTAGTCTATACTCTAGCCTATATTATAGTCTAGTCTTTTGTCTAGTCTATAGTCTAGTCTAGAGCTTTGTCTATACCTTATAGTATTGGCTATGGTCTTGCCCATATTCTAGTCTATAGAATATCCTATAATCTAGTCTATAGTTTAGCCTATAGTATAGTCTATAGTCTAGTCTATGGTCCAGTTCATAGTATAGTCAATTCCAGAGTGTAGTACATAAACTGGTCCATAGTGTATAGTCCAGTCTTCAGTGCATATTCTGCTATATATTATAGTGCTATATATTATAGTATGGTCTATAGTCTAGTCTATAGTCTGTTCGGTGGTCTGGCCCATAGAATAGTCTATAGTCTAGTTTATAGTCATGTCATAGTATATAGTTCAGTCTTCACTCTAGTGCACAGTGAAAATTCGATTCATAATGTGAGTAAAAATAAGGAAACATTGTAATAAGTAATTACAACCATAGAGATACACAATTTTTTAAATTCTTAACATGCCCTTCCAATAAGTCTACTTAGTTTATTTTATAGGCCCCAATAAATATTTGAAGATAATTGATAAGTTAACAGTTTTCTTTACATTATAAAAATGTAATTTAAAAAATTCTTTTGTTTATAATTTATAGTTTCCTTAATAAAAACTAATTTCCAATTATTTGCACAAACTTAACTGAATAAACACAAGTGTAACTACAACTAAGTGCAGTTAAACCTGGTTTATTTATTTAGCTCATTTTACATTCTATTTTGTGTGTTCTTTTCTCTAATGATTATGTAATAGTAGTTTTCTGTTTTAAATAGAACAATGTTTTTTTTTCTTCCTAAAAATAAAATAAATTGTTCATGACATCATGGTAAATAAAAACAGAATAGTAAATTGTTTGTTATGGAATAGTTGTTGTTGTTGTTGTTTTTAAGTGCAAAACATCTAGCAACATCAAATGACAGTTTGGTTGAAGTAAATCTGGGTTAAGGAACTTAGGAAATGAGAGAATATTTTATTTTTAAATGAAATTCATACAAGAACTGGAATAAATTCTGAGAACTTTTTAAATCTTTTTGTAATTATTACAAATATTTTCTTCTTTGCAATTTCTATTTTTGTACTTAAATTTCCTAGAAACCTTTTAAAAGGTCTTTTAGATTACTTGTTAATTATCAGGAATTCATGCAATTAACTAGTGGTTTAAAATTGACTCTCTAACCTTAATTGGTTTGTGGCCATTAAGTTTCTAATATTTGTTAAGTTGTTTACAACACCAACAACAATTTGTTATCAGTTTCTAAATAGTAGTTAGTAAAAAAAAGAGGGCTTGTTCGATATTTTGTTTAGCCACAAACGTTGTTAAACGCTCGTAGTATTTAATTTATTATTAGACACGTTTATTTAGACTGATATTTGTCAAAAGAAATAAAACAAATATGATTGACTGTTAATAAGTGTGTGTTTGGCAAGAATTTACTCGATTTATGTGACAAAATTTATCGGTGTTTCCAGGTGCTCAGAGTCCACATTTTGCTCTTGTTTTGTGATAACTGTCATTTATATGTCAGCCCCCAAACAAAGTTAAGGAATTTGTTTTCAAATTTGGAAGAAAGTGTGTTATTTTCCACTTCAAGGCTGAAATCATATTTTTTTGCTTTCTTTTTATAATCGTCATATAGTCTACATATTAATTAGATTTGTTTTTTTTTGGATGGAAAATACAATTTAAGTAAACAAATTTTTTTCTGATGAAATTAATCAAAGAAATTATATCATTTATTATCAAGCGAAAAGAAAGAAAACGTGGGTGGAATGATATGGAAAATTGAAAACTATTTAAATAGCGTAGTAGTATACAATAGTCTACTATATACTCAGCACTATGATGATAGTTTCTTATTCTGTCTTGACTATAGTCACGTCTACATTCAGGACTACGGATTAATCTAAGGTTTATTTAAAATTTGGTCTATAGTTTAATTAATAATATAGTCTAGTCTATAGTCGAGTCTATAGTCTAGTCTATAGTCTAGTCTATAGTCTAGTCTATAGTCTAGTCTATAGTCTAGTCTATAGTCTAGTCTATAGTCTAGTCTATAGTCTAGTCTATAGTCTAGTCTATAGTCTAGTCTATAGTCTAGTCTATAGTCTAGTCTATAGTCTAGTCTATAGTCTAGTCTATAGTCTAGTCTATAGTCTAGTCTATAGTCTAGTCTATAGTCTAGTCTATAGTCTAGTCTATAGTCTAGTCTATAGTCTAGTCTATAGTCTAGTCTATAGTCTAGTCTATAGTCTAGTCTATAGTCTAGTCTATAGTCTAGTCTATAGTCTAGTCTATAGTCTAGTCTATAGTCTAGTCTATAGTCTAGTCTATAGTCTAGTCTATAGTCTAGTCTATAGTCTAGTCTATAGTCTAGTCTATAGTCTAGTCTATAGTCTAGTCTATAGTCTAGTCTATAGTCTAGTCTATAGTCTAGTCTATAGTCTAGTCTATAGTCTAGTCTATAGTCTAGTCTATAGTCTAGTCTATAGTCTAGTCTATAGTCTAGTCTATAGTCTAGTCTATAGTCTAGTCTATAGTCTAGTCTATAGTCTAGTCTATAGTCTAGTCTATAGTCTAGTCTATAGTCTAGTCTATAGTCTAGTCTATAGTCTAGTCTATAGTCTAGTCTATAGTCTAGTCTATAGTCTAGTCTATAGTCTAGTCTAGTCTAGTCTATAGTCTAGTCTATAGTCTAGTCTATAGTCTAGTCTATAGTCTAGTCTATAGTCTAGTCTATAGTCTAGTCTATAGTCTAGTCTATAGTCTAGTCTATAGTCTAGTCTATAGTCTAGTCTATAGTCTAGTCTATAGTCTAGTCTATAGTCTAGTCTATAGTCTAGTCTATAGTCTAGTCTATAGTCTAGTCTATAGTCTAGTCTATAGTCTAGTCTATAGTCTAGTCTATAGTCTAGTCTATAGTCTAGTCTATAGTCTAGTCTATAGTCTAGTCTATAGTCTAGTCTATAGTCTAGTCTATAGTCTAGTCTATAGTCTAGTCTATAGTCTAGTCTATAGTCTAGTCTATAGTCTAGTCTATAGTCTAGTCTATAGTCTAGTCTATAGTCTAGTCTATAGTCTAGTCTATAGTCTAGTCTATAGTCTAGTCTATAGTCTAGTCTATAGTCTAGTCTATAGTCTAGTCTAGTCTAGTCTATAGTCTAGTCTATAGTCTAGTCTATAGTCTAGTCTATAGTCTAGTCTATAGTCTAGTCTATAGTCTAGTCTATAGTCTAGTCTATAGTCTAGTCTATAGTCTAGTCTATAGTCTAGTCTATAGTCTAGTCTATAGTCTAGTCTATAGTCTAGTCTATAGTCTAGTCTATAGTCTAGTCTAGTCTAGTCTATAGTCTAGTCTATAGTCTAGTCTATAGTCTAGTCTATAGTCTAGTCTATAGTCTAGTCTAGTCTAGTCTATAGTCCAGTCTATAGTTCAGTCTATAGTCTAGTCTATACTATAGTCTACATTATAGTCTAGTCTTTTGTCTAGTCTATAGTCTAGTCTGCAGTCTAGTCTATAGTCTAGTTTATACTCTAATATATATTCTAGTCTAGTTTTAAGTCTAGTCTAAAGTCTAATCTATAGTATAGTCTATAGTATAGTCAATTGTTTGTTCTATAGTCTAGTCTTTTGTCTTGCCTATAGTTTAGTCTGTAATCTTGTCTATAATCTAGTTTATGATGTAGTCTAGTTATAACCTTTTCTATAGTTCAGTCAGTAGTATTTCAGATAGTAAAAGCCTAAAATTTAATATGAGTTTTCGGTATTCAAATTATAAAAATATTTAACAAAATTTTGTTTTTTTTTTTCGTTTCAGTACTCACCATCAGGAGGTAAATAATCTTGGCATAGACCATAAGCTGTAGTAACCTGTAAGTAGAAAAAAATCACTTTTAAACAAATTTTTTATAGAAACTATTTAGAACTTTAGAATAATATAAATTTTAACTAATAGTCAAACTTTAAGTCCTTCCAAAATATAAAGACCCTGCGAAAGTTCAATGAAAAATATTTATGTATCTTAATCTTTTATTTTATTCAAAAAAATCTCATATCTACAACTAATAGAAACACCATATCTTCCTTTTTCGTCTTCCTTTTGCCATAATAGTAGTTAACATTCATGCGATAATCGCCAGGTCTCAAATACGCCGGTATACCATTCGTTTCCAAACGCATATTACGTACATAATAGCGGCCCTAAAAAAGTACGAAAATTGATTTTAACATATTTACTTTAACATTTAACCTAACACTTACTATAGGCACTGGACAATTTTCCATTAGATTGCCATATTTTAAAATATTTCTAAACCAAATGCGTATTAAATTTTCACGAAATACCTCATTTAGCACTTTACACATTTCAAAATCTTGGTAAAATAAAGTTTGGTACTTTTTGGAATTATCAATTCTATGTTGGGTCTCAATATTGATGCGCAAACCATAGTGTAGAATACGTATAGTGGTCATGTCCACATTAAGGGTCCCCTGATCTATAAAAGCTGTTGCATTGCTAAAATATTTTGTATTATACTTCAACTGGGCCTGGGAAAAGTTCATAAAGCGGTCTAGTGGGAAAAAAGAAGGAATTTAGAAAGTTTCATACAAAAACTCCAGAACTTACTCATTAAATTGCCAGCTTTAATATGTATGGTTAACATGTCGGACCAAATAAATATTAACAAAATGAAGAGAGCTGATCTAATCATTGTTGTTCGTATAATATTTACTTTGTATTTAGTTTCAATGTTGTTTATCAAATGTTTAACATTTTTGTTTTAACTGCCAACAAAAAACATAATAAATCAAATTTGCATATAAAGGTGTATTGATTTTATTTTTTTATGCGCCCTACTGTGGGTAGTGAAAGTTACAAATCAATGTGTATTAATTTCACAGCAGTTTATTTTAATGTTTAAATTTGTCTTTAATTGTGATTTAATCTGGATTTAGCTTTTGAGACAATGGGTGGGCGATCTGCGCTACGTTGTCTTAAATTACTTGGTCGTTTGACATTGGCTTGTCCTCACTTTTACAAGTGTTATAAACTGGTGGATTAACATATGTATCTGGCGGAGATCATCCATCGCTTTTAAATGTGAATAAAAGGTTTTGTGAATTTGTAATAAAGTGTTGGTATTTGACGCCCGTGGTTTAAGTTTTTAATTAAATATATTAAGTATTAGGCAATTTTTTTGAGAGTTTAGGTTTATTGATAAATAGTTTTGAAGATTTGTAATCTATTGCAGAATTGGTTTTTGTATTAACTATATTGTTGAAAATCTTGTTAAATTTTAAATTGAATATATATTTTATTATTGATTTAATAACAGAATAATAGAGAAAGTTTGTCAAGTTTTAACATTATAATCACCTCCATAGACTGAATCTTAATTAAGATCAAAAAATACACAATTTACTGTAGAGAACTATAGACTAGACTATAGACTAGACTATAGACTAGACTATAGACTAGACTATAGACTAGACTATAGACTAGACTATAGACTAGACTATAGACTAGACTATAGACTAGACTATAGATAAGACTATAGACTAGACTATAGACTAGACTATAGACTAGACTATAGACTAGACTATAGACTAGACTATAGACTAGACTATAGACTAGACTATAGACTAGACTATAGACTAGACTATAGACTAGACTATAGATTAGACTATAGACTAGACTATAGACTAGACTATAGACTAGACTATAGACTAGACTATAGACTAGACTATAGACTAGACTATAGACTAGACTATAGACTAGACTATAGACTAGACTGTAGACTAGACTATAGACTAGACTACAGACTATACTAAAGACTAGACTATCAACTAGTATGTACACAGTATGGTGTAGAAAATACTAAAAGGACTATTTTATAGACTGCAAGATAGTCTAATCAATAGCCCATTCTAGACTAAAGATACTTGAGCCAAGTCTATACTCAAGATCAGACTATTTTGGAAACTATTAAAAGCAATTCAATTAATGTTAACTATTAAACCTTTAAAAAAGTAAAAAATACCCTCTTCCGTAATAAAATATTAAATTAAGACTTTTTCCCAAAATCAGTCATGGTTACTTGAAAACTCTATTAAAATGCCTGCTGCCCTTTATAGGGGTAATTAAACTTCGTTATTACATATACAAAAACATGTTTTTGCCTGCCTTCAATTACATTGTTTTAACTTAAATTATTTATTATTAGTTTTATTGAATTTTAGTTTTTTATATAAATTTTTTATTACAAGCACCATTAATTGAAAAAGTCATTAGTGAAAACAACAATTTATATATTAATATTTTCTCATTTTTGGTCAATTCCGGCCTATTATTAATGATAATAAAACTAGCTGTCATTACAGTTAGTTGGCATTTGCTAAAAAAAAGTCGATTTATAAATTTAGTGTAAATCGAGTGGAATGGTTTTAAAGTGTTATTGCCTCGAAAATATGTCAACTCAATAATATGGGGACAATGAACTTTGTTAGTAGAATGTTTTAGATAAATTTATTAGACCTATGATCTAGAATATTACTGAGGAAAATAGCATTATAAATCCCTCTTTATTCCTTGTTGGCTCTATGTTTTACCAATTCCCAGAAATGGTACATCCTATGTAATTTCAAAATTTCTAGAGTTTGGGTTATAATTTGACATGACACGTGCCCACCAACCGCTTTTTCAGTTTAATTGACGTCACTAACTCTGATGTTTCATAATTGTTTTCCAAATATTGAAAAAAAAACAACAACAACAACAGCCACTAATGACAGCATATCAAAAATCAATTAAATAAATACTAAAATATTAACTACTCTATAGACTTCCTTCATTATTATTTATTATTTAGTTTTTTATTTTTATATTTTAACTACTATTTATTTTGAATTTAGTTGTTGAAGTTTGCACGACCACTTCATAAAATATTTAAATAGTTTTTAACAAATTTATTTCTGTTTGACATTAATTGCTCCTTATAGAGACAAATAAGTAAAAATAAAAAAAGATGTCTTCAAATAAAATATGCAGCAAAACAAATAGTTTTCAAATATTATTCAAAATAATATGCAAAAAAAAAAAATTTGTCTCCAAACGTTGTCAAATTTGTAAGCAGAAGCCAAAGCTTAGTCTTTAAAATTGCTGCATCATCATCAACATCATTTTGTATGTCATCAACGTCATTTCTGTAGTCATCAATATTGCAAAACTGTCGGCTAATTGAGTTGTTAGCCACCACTCTGCCACACTAAACCAACCAACTAACTAACGAACCAACCAACCAACCATCACACTGGTCATACATTCCGTCTTCCACAAACTTCTTTTTTTTCCAGTTCGTCTTCTATCATCATGTTGAGGACAACCGTCAGTAGCAATGATGTCAATTGTAGCAAATATATATATTTTTTATAGCGAAAGAAGAGAGTGAGAAAAAAAATTAATGTCAATTTGTAACGAATATTATAATTGACGTTTGAAAATGTCACGTAGTTTTTCGTTCTTTAACGAGAACATTTCGTACGTGTTGTTCGTTAGTTAGTCACGTCGTTTTGAAGTGTCTAATGTTTTTTTTCTATTATTATGTAACTTTAGACATTTGATTAAATTTGACAGGAACTTAGTGAAGACTAAATTTTATGGAATAGGTGGAATAGATATACAAAGTTGCACACAATGGAATGCAATTGGATCAAGATAAACATTTCAGGTGAAACTTGAAATATTTATTTAAAATTGATATGTTTATTTAATACTAGTGGTGCCCGGTCCGCGTTGCAGGCTCTTGATTAGACATGTGGGCTTCACGTAAAGAAATATATACCCATAAAATTTTAAAATAATCGGTTTAGATGTAATTGACTACGCCATCTGTCGGACAAATCAGGTGCCTTAGGTCCTGAGAATATCGATTACGAAGGAACATTACTGTTTATATACTTAGAAGAAGATTGTTGGATAGATAGATAGATAGATAGATAGATAGATAGATAGATAGATAGATAGATAGATAGATAGATAGATAGATAGATAGATAGATAGATAGATAGATAGATAGATAGATAGATAGATAGATAGATAGATAGATAGATAGATAGATAGATAGATAGATAGATAGATAGCTAGATAGATAGATAGATAGATAGATGGATGGATAGATAGATAGATAGATAGATAGATAGATAGATAGATAGATAGATAGATAGATAGATAGATAGATAGATAGATAGATAGATAGATAGATAGATAGATAGATAGATAGATAGATAGATAGATAGATAGATAGATAGATAGATAGATAGATAGATAGATAGATAGATAGATAGATAGATAGATAGATAGATAGATAGATAGATGGATAGATAGATAGATAGATAGATATATAGATAATAGATAGATAGATAGATAGATAGAATGAGATAGATAGATAGATGATAGATAGATCGATTAGATAGATAGATAGATGATAGATAGATAGATAGATAGATAGATAGATAATAGATTCTAGATTACATAGATAGAGCCGGTTTGTTCTATTTTGGGTTTTGATGATGTTTAAACCAAATTTTTGCCGCAATTTCGGTTTTTAAGAAGTCCTTAAATGTATCTAATATCCTCTTTCAAGTCTTGTTGGTACAAACTCGATAAGTATTCCATAAACTATAGTCAGATTGTGCAATCTGGAGCAGTTAAATCGAGAGATTTGATTCTGATCGGGAGATTTGATATTCTAGATTATGATTTAATACTTATGGTCTTTGAAAATGACCCGCCCTCTATCATAATGATCATAGCTGCTAGGGGAAAAGCTGATTCTTGAGACAATATTTGAATTCACTTCAAGAGCTTCTAGAGCCTGTGGATAATACTAAAGTAATAATGCAGGTCTTGTGAATTTTTCCGTATTTGCAGTTCCTCTGTTGAGAACTTTGAACGATCAGTTCTTGTACTCATTTTGGTTATTCTAGAGAGATATTGGATTGATCGAATGAATTGTAAGGTTTAAAAGAAACACATGAATTAAAATTAATGACGTCATCATGGTAAGACTTGATGATTGTAGAATCATAATCATCAAGATCAAGAAACTTTAATAAACTTTTATGGAACTTAAAGCATTGATTAACGAGTAACTATTGATCAATATCAAAAATAGTATTGTGTTGAACTAAATTCCGAAATAACTTCTAATTTTGTCAAAGATCTCATACATAGGAACGTATAAAAAGGCATTTTTCTACCAGTCAATTATTGCTAACTAGGTTCCCATTTCCTAAAAGCTTTTACAACACAAAAGTTTATATAACTTTCGTCATAAATTTTTAAATAACATTTATATTGTATGCGAAATTTGTATTACATAAAAATAAAATTTTCACACAAATTACGATAAACGATAGTGATTTTTTTTCGCGCCGCTAAATTGACAACATCGATTAGTAAAATAAATTGACAATATTTTATAAAATCATACACATGTGCGAGTTAAATGTATACAATGAATATAAACATGTATAAATAAAAAAAAGTTGAAAAATGTAGAGAGAAAAAAAATATTGTAATTTTTGTGTGGCACAAAGAACGATCGTATAGAGCATGCAACATATTACAATAAATGGCGTCACCAGAGCAAAGTAATAAAACAAG